CAGAAAAATGAAAACAGGAAGTCTCACATGTTCTTTCTTTGGTAATATTTGCTACCCAGATTTGCAGATGACTAAAAAACAAATCCTTTATAGCAGAATCCAGGCCCAGAACTTGGTACATAGGCTCTCTATATGATCAGGGTAGAATCGGTCACATGAGAACAGGGTCTAGAGGGCTGCTCTGGAAGAAAGACATTTTACCTTTACATAAAACACAGTGAGTAGAGCAAGATTACATCAGTCAATGATGAAATATTTTTGCCTCCATGCAATCCATTCACAGCACAACAAAGCCAAGCCAAAGCCAGACAGTGTCACAAAGCCACACAGATGTGACTGCCTGCTATTTTTCACATTGAACTCTCAGTTAGCTGACAGGTATGAGGAAAGCCACATGTAGCATGACAACTTCACAGTGACCACATGTTGGCAGCTGCAGAGGAACATATTCCAGCCAAGGCAGAATGTATTAAATCTGAAAATGTTTCCTCTAGCTGTGCCAATGCGGGTAGAGATACTAAGCTAGCCAAAGGGAAACTATCAAAGCAGCACTATGTGTTAAATCCTGCATCTCTTCAGGGATTAGGCACTTTATTCAGTGCCACCCAAGAGAGCTCTAGCCTCTCTCCTGCTAGTAGATGATTAAGCTCTTTGTTTCAAAAAACAAGCAAGGTTCATTCCTTTCAAAACACATCAGGGACGAGAGGTAGTAGTGGTTCTATGCCCTTACCCATTTCATACAACAGCCCACTGATTACAAGCACTTAAGTTGTTGGCAAGTTGGGCTGAATTCTTTCCTATTCCCAATAGGATTTGAATGTATATGTTTTACCTCCCAAAGTGAGTGCTCTTTGGGCTGTTCAGGATGGGAATATTCTCATTCCCCTTCATTTGAATATTTAAGAGCCTTGTTACATGTTGCACTTTGACTTGCTCAGATGTTGATCAGTATTAGTTCTAGCTCGAGTTTGGAGCAGTCAAACCTTAAGGCTGAAAACCTCTAACTGTCCGCCACCTGCACACTAGTGACTTGTCACGAGAGGGCTGGTGAGCAGGTGGCGGATTAGGAGCTACAGCTGAGTTGCCACTACAGGGCTGATGGGCCAGGACAGGCTTCTATCCCTGCTCTAGATGGGAGTGTGAGAGAGATGGGGTGGGAGCACGGCAGGAACATGAAGCTTGGAAGCAGAGAGTTAATGGGATGGGGTAGGTAATGACATGGGAGGCGGAAAGGAAATGGGGGTGGGAGAAGGGTGGTAAAATGAATGAAGTCAGCCACTGAAAGAGAAAATAAAAAGTAGCAAAAAAAAAAAAAAGAATTTAAAAAGAAATAAAGAGAAAGCAAATTAAAGGTCTCATATTTTAATAAATTGGGATATGGGGTTGGGACGTGGGGGTGCTGGGATGTGGAACAGTGAGGGAAGGCACTTTTGGGGGAACTATTGCCCCTGCTCCAGGAAGGAAGCCCCAGCTCATGAGGACCCGATCCAGGAGCCTGCCTTCTTCCCTCCCTCTATCCTGCCTAGACCCCACTCATAGACCCGTCCGTGCCCTGTGATCTGGCTAGCAGAAATGGGCTCTGCAGGTTGTTTGCATGGAGTTGCACCCCTGAGAGTGAGAAAGTCACACCCCAGGAGTGGGAGGACAAGCTGGCTTGGTGCCAGTACCGCCCCATGAGCAGTAGAGTTCAGGGGGTGGAAAGTTTGTCCACACATAACAGGAGGGTCAGGAAGGGGGCATTGGGATGTTGGAGGACTGCAACTTGTAGGAAGTGGCCACACATTAATGAAACATGGGCTGCATAACACAGATCAGAGAGAAACCTGACCTAGAGTTGTGTAACTTTAAAACGTGCTTAAAACTAGTTTCAGGTGTTAATGTATGGACAATCCAGAGCTCCAGGACCCGTGTAAAATTAATATGTAAAAAGACCTGAAGAGTGAGAGAGGGAGAAAATGCACAACTCTCCAGCCAAGTGGTTAGGACATTCACCTGTGATGGGGGAGTCCTGGGATCCTGTCCCTGCTCCAAAGGTTGGATATATTTTATCTTAAATAGTTCTTAGATAAAATACAAGAACTGTCCTTAGATTAAAGCTGGTATTTTTTCCATTCATCCCAGTGCTATGGTCACCAGACATTGGACTGTTTTGATGCTTTTGAATCACTAAGTATTTAAGATACTCAAATACATGGATACAAACTTATGTCAATGAGGAGCCCTCCTGTGGAAGGCAGCATATGGCCCCTTTCTATTCAGATCCTAATAAAAATCATAGGGAGTTTATTCAGCACAGCTGGAATGCCCTTAAACCTTGCACTGTTTCAGGTTTATCAGCAAGAATGCATATGATATTTCTATAAGAACCCACTTGTAGTACTTGTTAGCTTTATCTTACATTTGATTTGATAAACAGTTTATACAACGAAGCCAAGCTTCCCTTCCACCTGTGCCCCCTTTGTTTATCTGCCTTCCAAAGCAAGTCATCTTTCTTTTTTCCCATAATCTTTAGCTTTTACCAGTGCTTATACTGGCACAGTAAGGGTTGGTATACTGTACCCTCATCCAAAACCAAATGGAGATAATGTTTCAGTTATCCTGCAGTTACCCTCCACCGCAGTCTGTCAGTTCTTGCTCCTTACATGTGCTCTTGCTCCTCCCAGTAGGCAACACACCTGCCATACTTTCTTCACCTCCCCGACTTCTACACAGCCTGCCAACCCTAGTCCTCATCCCTCCTCCTCCAGTCGCAGCCAGCTACATACACTAGTTTCAACTTCTTTTCCAAGTTGCCAATTGATCCTTACCTCCTAGCACGTCTTTCCATGCCCCCCAGCTAACTTAACTGGCATACTATATTGCCATCCTACAGAACCAATTTACCTACCCTATGTCTTCCGCCCATGCTGTTTGTAGATACAATCTGCAATAAAAATAAAAGATCCACACTGCGAATCTGTGTCAGGATGCCACTTAAGAAAAGAGACATGCTAAGCAAAATTATTTTCCATAACATCATCAATTCACTACATGGTCTGGTTTTCTTTATGCAATACACAAACCCTTTTAGGAAAACAGAAAGCATGGCTCCCAAAAAACACCATTTCAAGACTTTTCTGGCAGCTATGGGCTACATAAAACATTTGTAAATTATATTAGTGTGCGGGCCGGGAGCGATCCAGGCCCTTTTTGTGCTCTGCGCGGGCTGTGGCCAGCAGCCCAGGCACGCGGGGTCGGAAAGAACGGGCGACACGCTAGAATTAGGCACGGACGCGTAATGGTTGATTCAAGATTGTTTACTTACACCGAAGAGCGTGCTCCGTGGGTCCTTTTGCGTGCAGGGAGAGGGATACGTCGAGGATTGCGAACAGCGACGGGGAGAGGCTAGAGGCTGATCAGAATCCCTGTTGCCTGCTTGAAATGCACTGGGTCCAATAGGCTCCGCAGCGCTTAGAGATCTTCATGCAGCGTGAAGTCTCCTCCTCCTGGTGTTCGTGGAGTCCTCCAACTTGGGCAGAAACCACTCAAGCCTTTTATATGGCTAGCAAGCCAATCGCTAGCCGCCACGTGTGCATAATTTAATGCAAGCCAATAATGGGGCTCGAATTAGAATACAAATGGCGGGAATTCTTTGCACCGAGCATTTCTTAGATGCAAAAAAATGCACCATGCAAAGAAAGCTACAAATTGGCGGGAAATTCTCCCGTGCACCAGGGTTTTCCTCTGCAGCAGAAAACTCCACCGTGCAAAGAAGCTGCAATTTAGCGGGAACAATAATTTAGCAGTGCCAAAGCACACACAAAACAAAAATCACAACTTTGGGTTGTAACAATTAGGAGTTCCAGAATGACAATCTCTTCACAATGGTGAGGCTTGAAATAGCTGTCAAGCAATGGAGGTCAAATGAATATCCATTGAAATCATGCAGCACTTAGGGGCTAGTGCCCCTGCAAAAAACATATCTGTAACAAACATTAAGAACAGCTGTTAACCAACAGCTCCACCATGAGTAGATAAAATCTGCAAAAATTCAAACTGAGCTGGTCACTCAGGCTCATTTAATTCTTGTTCATGTTTTGCAACTTCTCACCAGTAACAATTTACTATTTTAAAATAAAGAGTTAATCCATAATTATTTTTGCACTGCATATGAATAAGATAAAAATATTCTTACAATACTGTTTTCAGGCAATCATTTGTACCAAACATCACTTGAAAGTAAACAAAAAAAAATCTTTAGAAACTTGTTAAGGTTGAAAGCATATATCAATGGATTGGACCTAATAATCAGAAAGTGTGAACACTAATAGGAAAAAATAATAATTTTATGGTGGCAAGTTCATAAAGACTAGAAATTATAAATAAAAGGACACAGCCAAGTAAATCATGTTATACATTTGTTCTTTACTTGTAGTCACTCCAGATCAGCCCCTTCATGTGATCCTCCATGCACCCTTCTGGTAAGCCCTAGGCCTGTGCGAATAGTGAAGTATTCGATTCTGATTCAGCCAATTCGGAGGACAGCAATTCGATTGGGTGATTCGAATCACTATCCCCATTCTATTCGGCCAAATCAGAATCAGAGATTCGGCGCTGATTCCAATATTCAGATCAGTTGGGGAGAGGAAGGCACAGCTGGGTGGCTGCAAGTTCTCCCACGGCTCCTCCAGCTGTGCCTGCCTCTCCCTGGGCAGGAGGAGCCAGAGGAGAAGCCTGCGTGGCCCCAACCCCTGCCCAGCCCCAGCCGAGTCCCGGCAATTTAAAAAAAATTTAAAAGCCCCACACACACCAACTGCAGCAGCGGGAATCAGGGCCTCTGAGGGTTCAAGGCAGAGCCCTGGCCATGCAGCGCAGCACACTTCAGCACTTTTAACGCTACCACGACCACCACCACTCTGGTGATTTAAAATCCTGCTACAAAAAGGAGTCCTGTAACTCATACTGAGGTACCCAAATACCATGGCAATGAGTGCCATATAAGAAAGAAAGGGAAAAATTAGTCTGTGCAATACTTGGGAAAGTATGTCTGCACATACTTTCACCCAAGCAAACGTGTTTATCTTTTATGGATGACTGCTTTGTTCAAACAATACATGGATGATGCTTGCTTATGCTTTGGTTTAGATTGTCTTTGTGATTTTAAGATTTATTCTTCATTCAGTCTGTAGAAATAGTGCTATTGGTTTTTACTCTGCTGTTTGGACTTGCCTTGTGCACCAGGATGACTCCAGGTTTTCTGTCTCCACAGGTGCATCCACACACACAGGCACGTGTGCTTGCAGCAGCTCAAATAGCAGCAGCATAAATTTCTGCCCCCTCGGACCTGCAGCCCCATGGCTGCGTGCCTGCCAGACTCAAATGGGGACCTCAGTCACTTGGGCTGTGGTATGGACACTGTAGCAGAGTTTCCTGCACCTCTGGGCCAATTGCTAGTGGGCCACAGCTGCACAATTGGCTTTCATGTGGCACTGCTGTCATGTCTTCTGCTGCCCCTGCCCTGACATCTGGGCAGCTATCACCAGGAAGATGAACTCATTGCGGTGGCCCACTTTGAACTGTTGAAGCATGTCCTCCTCGCCCCAAATGGTCAAGATGTCAGCCACCTCATCTGCCCTCCAGCTGGGTCCCCAGTGCTGGCCCTGGGCAGGCTCCTCTGCCCAAGTCCAAACGCTTGCTTCAGCAGCAGGGATCCTGGTGGTTCCTGTTTAAAAATTACAAATTCTCTGATTAAAAAACCCCAAAATCCATGTTCTTCCATGATTAAAATGAAACGCCACTATATATCGAGAGATCAGTTGGGCAATGTTTTATTGATATATTTACAATTATAAAGCAGTTTGGAAGCCTACCAGTGCCTCTATCATAATAAAATGAATCCTGAATACCTATACATTTTGGTGTTTACTTTTGTTTTTTTAACCACAGAAAAATCAAAGCTGCCCCTGCTCCCTTCACTCACCAGGATGTGGGGTGCTAAGCAGCACTGGGATGCCAGTGCCCTGCCCCTGCCCAGCCCCTTGCCCCTCACTTCCAAACCCACAGGCTCACCAGTGCCCCTCATTCCTGACCTGTAAACTCTGCCTGCCCCAACTATCTCCCTCCTGGCAGCAGCTCCATCCCAGCATTAGGACATGAGTCGAGCTACATCTATCCCACCTGCTGCTATGTGGGAGGGCTTGTGTGAGGATTTGGGGTGTGGAATTTGTGGGTGGGGTTTCTGGGTGGGGGAGACTATGTGGGAGGGGTGGGTTCCCCCACCCCCACACAATCTCTCCATAGCAGCAGCAGGCCATCAGGGTGCTCATGGCCAGTTCCTGGCAGAGACCCCTGGTGCCTGCACATGACAAATGGTGCTGGCCCAGCCTGCTGGTGCATGCCCTCAGACAGGACCGGGCTGGCTCTTGCTGTCACCCGGGTTTCCAGTACTGCATACAAGAGCCATGTGCCCTCAGGCCAGGCTGGGTCCTGCCTCCATGGAGCCAGCCCAGCCCAACAGCATGTGAGGCACATGGAGTCAGGACCTGGCCCAGCCCAAGAGCACATGGCTCTTGCATGAGGTGCCAGGAGCCCTAGGTGACACAAAGAGCCGGCCCAGTTCTGGCTGAAGGCATGCACCAGTGGACTGGGCCAGCGCCACGCACCATGTGAAGTCACCAGGTCTCTGCCAGGAGCTGGCCATGAGCACCCCAACAGCCTGCTGCTGCAATGGGGAGACTGTGCACCATACGGGGGAGTGGGTGGGAGACCCACCCCTACCACATAGTCCCCTACCCCCCCACAGTCCCCCCTCACCCCTACTTACTGGGGACAGAGCCTGGGTCCAATCCACTGCTGCCAGCCTTGCACCGCTCCTATTTACAGGAGCAGCAGGGATACCCAGCAGGCATAGAGTGCTAGAGTGTCGTTCTGGAGGACCCAACCTCTGATTGCCTCAGGGCATGTTCCAGGAGCATGCCCTGTGCCACTTTTTTCCAGGGTGTTTCGGTTTTTTTAATACCAGGACTTTTTAGTATCAAATTTAGAGTCTGCACTACAAATATGCAGCGTGGGGAACATTTTTTCATTCCCAGTGTGCCTCTTGCAGCATCTCAAACTGCTTTGAGATGCCACAACAGGCACATGCTAGCTCATCTGGACACAGCCCAGGAGGGCAATTCTAATGACAGAAGTAGTAACAACTATCAAAGGATAAATAATGTCTCTAAAAGGACAGTTCTGGGAGTACTGGAATAGCTTCCTTATTATAATGATTATTTAAAAAAAAAACGTGTAGCTTTCATTGGAGAACTGGATTCTGTGGATCTAAAATGTAACCACATCCTCAGCAGACACTCCCTGTGCGTGAAGAAGGATGTTTGTGCCCCGAACTTGCAAATAACATTTTTTCCAACTATTTAGTTAGCCTAATAAAAGAGATCACATTACCCAAAGAACCTTGTCTACCTGTGTTTTTAGACCAACACAGCTACAACCAACACCACCGAGTCCTCAATCCTTTCCTGCTTTCCCCTGCTTAAACAGTAGCTCAACAATAAGATAACCTGGCATATATATAGCATTTTCTGGAAGTAAAAGAAGGGCTAGGGTAATGCCCATTTAGAAAGAAAAAAAAAGTTTAATTTAAAAATATCACTGGATCTGTGCATGGCTTGAAGGCTGTTCAAACTCTGCCAGATTATCCCCTTCCAAAATGTGGATTTCACTGTGGGAATGGTTTGTATCACCATGCTTCAAAAACACATGACCAGTGGATAATTAATAGAAGATCCTGTGCCTGACTCTAGATTTAAGCTTTTGCAAATACAAGGTACTTTGTTCTCTGGCCTAAAAAGCACACAGCAAGCTCCCTGGTAATTCTGTTACCTGAAAGCCTGCTTATCTTCCTACCAGGGAATATCGTTATCTGAAGCATACTTATAGTTGTGCTAAAAGAACAGAGTCTGAATGCAAAAACTGAAAATTGTTCCACAGTAGATTATCTCTATTAAGTAAAAAGGCTTCATAACCTATATAGAAGTAATAATATGTAATGAGAAGGCTGTCTAAGTAGCATAATATTGACAACTTCACAATTTTTTTTTTTATCTAGAGTTGATAAAGGATTGTGTGATGTTTGACACAACAGGAGTGTAATAATTAGACTACTTGCAAATGCAGAATTGTCTGGCTACATAATACAATTGCAGCCCGGGTACACCCAGAGGGGTGTGCCCTGTCCTCCAATGACAGTTATGGGGGGTCAGGCAAGGTGCTGATGGAGGGGCCGGCAACTAGAGCAGTTCCCTCTCCTCTCTACAGAGCCAGGCTGTGACCATGTGCTTAACTATATACAATTTATTACTATAATAAATACTTATGATAAAACATGAAATATTTACAATAAAGCTTAGCATATGACACGACATATAATATCCCACAATCCACATAAACCATATAATTTACAGCATATATAATAATTAACACATTAAACAAGATAGCTAAGGTTACAACACAATAAACACATATGGGGAATCAACTTATATAACCCAAATAAGTTAATAATAATATTCCCTAGACCTACCAAGTAACAATACAAATATACATATTAATACATTAAGAACATATAAACCATATAAACTCCTTTAAAGAATACCCATAGCTATACAGACCTTGAAACAGCAACTATCACCCAAACTGGGGAGTGCACTTAGTACCTCCCCAAGGGGTTTCCTTGGAGTCCCTGCCATTTAGGGACCTGGGATGTGGACACATCCCTCCTGCAATGGAGGGTGGAGGCAGCAGACACTCCTGTCCTGTGCCCACCTCCCCTGCAGGGCCCACTTCCCCAGCAATGCATGCTTTCTCTCTGAAGCACCCAAGGCTCATCCCCTGGAGGCCATTCCCATGAGAGCCTCTCTCCAAAGGTGCCTTCAGCTCTCCTTGATGGCCTGGTGGCCTGCACCAGGCAGCCCAGGGCTCTCTCTCTCTCATGGGAGCCAAACTGTTACAGGCTCTGGTTCCCCAGTCTCACACTGGGGGTCCTCCCTTTCTCAGGCCCTGCTCTGGACACCAGGGCTCTTTTAGTTAAAGGTGGAGCTGCACTCCAGGGCTCCGGTCACTCGGCCTAGGACCAGGGCTAACTTGAGCAGCTGTGAGCTGCTGCCAGGAGGGTCCTCCATGCACCAACGCACTCACTGAGTGAGGCCCAAACAGCCTTGAGCTGCTCCCAGGGCCAGGTCTCCCTGTGCCGATCTGCACACCAACTGCCCAGCCACTTGCTGGGTCCGCAGGCTCAAGCCACCTCGAGCAGCTCCTGGAACCTGATCCCCGAGTGCCAATTCTTACTGACACTCGGGGATCTATACACAGGTATAGAGACATGCTCAGTAAAGAACTCCTTGCGTCACTCCTTTATAACCAATTAGCAAACAAGAATGCTTATGAAGGTCTAAACCCCTGTATAAAAGACGCTTAGAATTACAAATCTGTGTGCTTGTTACGTGAAATTATTCCGCTTGCACCTTTTATTGCTGGCAATAAATCTTCTTTATACTTTCACCCCTGGTATCTTTATTGGCCTTTGCATACCGGGCACGATCCCAGACTTGAGCTGGGGCTCAACACAATGAATCATTTACTAAGTTGGTTGAGTTATGGTCCAGGGCATCCTCTCAAACTTCACATTATTAATACATTTGACGGTTCAAATAACCTGCACTCGATATTCTGGGTGCACTGATATAAGGTCTTGCAGCAAGAAAGGTAGATCCATATGTTTGTTTATTATTGACTTATACAACAATACGTGCCTTTAATAACCTAAAATACCAAATGTCAGCTGAGTTCACAACAGCCAACAAAACTCTACTTCACCTTTAGAAACTCACCAGATCCCAAACTTTCCTCCCCTCTTCAGCCTCGTGTGTTACAAGACATCCCAATAATGAGATGGAATCTTTAGAAATACGATTCTAGGACGTGCCAAAGCAGTGAGAACGACATAGCAAATGGATGATGCTATCACAAGTCAATGTTTTATCTGGTGTTTAACTTAGAATCATAGAAAATTAGGGTTGGAAGGGACTCCAGGAGGTCACCTAGTCCAAGCTGTTGCTCAAAGCAGGAACATCCCCAGCTAGAGCATCCCAGCCAAAGCTTTATTTAGCCAGGTCTTAAAAACCTCCAAGGATGGAAATTCCACCACCTCTCCGGGTAACCTGTATCACAACCCAAGGGTGTGATTTTTGTTTTGTGAGTGCTTCGGCACTGCTAAATTGTTCCCGCTAAATTGCAGCTTCTTTGCACGGTGGAGTTTTCTGCTGCAGAGGAGGACCCCAGTGCAAAAGAATTCCCGCCACCAGTAGCTTTCTTTGCAGGGTGCATTTCTTTGTTGCAGCAGAGAAATGCACGTTGCAAGGAGTTCCCGCCATTCGTATTCAAATTTGTGCCCCACCATTGGCTAGTTCTAAATTATTCCCACGTGGCGGCTAGCGATTGGCTTGCTAGCCGTATAAAAGGCTTGAGCGGTTTCCGCCCAAGTTGGAGAACTCCGAGGAGAACCCCCGCAAGGGAGGACTCCACGAACACCAGGAGGAGGAAACTTCACGTCTCGCGAAGATCTCTAAGCGCTGCGGAGCCTATCGGACCCAGTGTGAATATCAAGAAGGCAACAGGGGTCTGATCAGCCTCTAGCCTCTCCCCGTCGCCAAGCGCAATCCTTGACGTATCCCTCTTCCCTGCGCACACAAGTTCCATGGAGCCTAGCAAACTTCGTGTGAGTCTATTCAGAGCTCTTTTCTTCGAGTACTTTCTTCGGTTGATGCGACGGGCTCGCGGTTTAGAGCCTCCAACTGGATGGGCTAGAAGAGTGTTCACAGGAAGGAACTCTAGTCCGCCTCTCTTCTTTCTATCTGTAACTGCAACTCAAGCAAGTTTTCCTGCCTGCACCGCGACCATCTTCGGTGTAAGTAAATAATCTTAAATCAACCATTACACGTCCGTGACTAATTCTAGTGTGTCGCCTGTTCTCTCCGACCCAGCGTGCCCGGGCTGCTGACCACAGCCTGCGCGGCGCGAAAAAGGGCCCGGATCGCTCCCGGCCCGCACAACCTGTTCCAGTGCTTTACTACCCTCCTAGTGAGAGAGTTTTTCTTGATATCCAATCTAAACTTCCCTGTTTGTGACTTGAGACCATTTCTCCTTGCTCTGTCACCTGCCACCACTGAGAACAGTCTAGTTCCATCCTCTTTGGAACCCCACTTCAGGTAGTTGAAGGCTGCTATCAAATCCCCTCTGTCTTCTCTTCTGCAGACTAAATAATCCCAGTTCCCTCAGCCTCTCCTCATAGGTCATGTGCCCCAGCCCTCTCAGCATTTTCACTGCCCTCTGCTGGACTCTCTCCAATTTGTCCACATCCTTTCTGGAGTGGGGGGCCCAAAACTGAATACAATACTCCACAGGTGGCCTCACCAGTGGCAAATAGAGGGGAAGAATCACTTGCTTGATCTGCTGGCAACACTCCTACCAATGCAGCCCAATATCAATATTGTCTCTATACCTGTGTTTTAGCTATGTATCTCATTTACATACATGTATGTTTCATTAGCATACTTTCTCCCTACCTAGGGGCATGATTTTTAGTATTTTAATTAGCTCTTTGACCCAGTCCTCTGATTCTGCTTTTGTTTTCAAGCCTCTCCTTAAAAAGACTGTCTCAAGACTGTCTCCTCCTTATCATTGCAGATGGGCATTTGTTACATAACATAGACTTTTGCTTGGGCTTTGTATAGTAGTTTCTAGGTCAAACCTCACAATTGTATGGACTTGGATAAATTTCTTTGCTCTTCTCCCTCCATCTACCCATCTGGAAAACAAGAACAGTAACACTCACTTCAGAGGGGTGCCGAGAGTGATCAACAAGGTCTTGTTAGGTCATTTGTTCATATCAGCCACTCAGTGCTGAAAACAGTGGTGCAGATATAGTTGATCAGTAGCAAAACTGAGTTTAGAAAAGTCCCTAATTAGAAGCACTACACTGTGGCTGGAAAACTGTCACTTCAAGGTTATTGCTTTGCAAAGGAGACATCACTTCCTCAGGAACACACTGACCCCGCTTTGGAAAAATGCAACTCATTAAATACCTTGTGCTTTCTTTATAAAGGTTTTTTAAAGTTCTTAATGTCCATGCTGTAAGTAATTTGTCTGGGGCCAAATTTCAAAGCTATGCAGAGTGATTTTGATTTGGAATGAATGCTCTAAGAAATCAAGGGGGAGCTTATTTTTGCAGACATTTGAGCCAACATTATCAAATCCATAAACAATATACATTTTCTGTTTATGTCATGTATTTCTTATGTCTAGTACTCACTATCACCAAGCAGCCTTCATTTTTATAGAGCAGTGCAAAATGCAATAGGTATTATCAAGAAGAAAAAACAACAATTGAGACACTCTATCAAAGCCTGTCATATTTTAGCTGAGTTTCAGCAGCAGCAACAACAAAATGTGCCAACACCAGCAACTGAAGTAAGATGCATTTACAAGATAAAGTTCAGCCTTCTCCATGCTAAAGCACCCACTTAAACAGATGAAGGGTGTACATGATTATTGCTCAGAGCATGCGGCTGCTGAGAAGGTATTACAGGAACCTCAATATTGGGCAGTAATTGAAAATGTCTGTCTCATTCTCAGTCCCTTTGTGACAGGCCAGCTGTGATATGTCTTCTGACTCTGCCTTTCTGAGCCAAGTCAGTCCTCTCATTAGTTTTCTTAAACACCACCTGTCCATGTTGAGAAATTATTCTCAGACAAACCAAAATAGGAATTACATGGCACTCTCATTAAAAGTGTAGATACACACTTCAAAGAAGATAAAAAAAAATAAAACAGAAATGCTCACAGCCTGAGCATTATCCTGCATATTGGCCATTCTTTCATCTTTAACAATTTCTACCTAATTTTATCAAGCTAGGAACTAACAGATCCCATTTTTCTCCTGGTCATTGATTGGACTATTGCCATAATGCATGGTTGTAAAGTACTACTACTGTGTACTCTTCCAGGCAACTATGACATAGTCAATGCCATATTTTATTGTGGCATTGGGGAATTTCTTGACAGACTCTGAATTCAAGTTGCTCATTTATTTTGCCATCTTGAAAACCCAATCTATGATAATTTTTCTTCTTTTTTTGCCTTCTTCTATAGTAGATGTAGGAACTAAGTAGAGCCACAGACTTGTATAGGGATATGATAATTTATACTAGCTGGAGATCTTTTATTGACTATTCCAGCTGGGAATCTTCTATTGACTTCATTGTATGCTTCCCATATGACCTGATTGCAGAATCATAACCTACGGCAATGATTATTTTGTCTCTCGCATTCTCTTTACCAGTTTCATCAGTGTAGTATTTTCAGCTTGTTTCGGTGGAGATGAACCTGGAGATTTATAACCACTGAGGCCTAAGCCAGAAGACCTCCAATTCTCATAACACTCACTGTTCTACTGCAAGGACACTCTCCACTTTACTCATCTTCCCCATGCCTCTCACCTGATTTTAACAGTGTGCAGAGTACACCTCTGCATATCTACTGGATTCTGGTTTCTCCTAATGTTATTCTCCTGCACAAGGGAATGAAATAGAACAGGTTCCAAGTGTAACACCAACCAAATTCCATATTGTTCACTTGAGTCATCCAGTTGCAGAGACAACATTCAAAGTTAGTTACTGTGCTGCATAGGATCCCACAATATGACAACATAAGGGTGACCAAACTACCATATTTACCTGAATCCAAGATAACCCTAAATTTAAGACACGCCCCTCCCAATAATTAGATTCTATACATTGGGAATTTATAAATTTGTTATAATTTTCCATGTATGGAATCTACTAATTGGAGGATTGTCCTAAATTTGTCCCCACCACCACTGCAGCAGAAATAACAGTGGCAGGGAGGTAGGTGGTAGGAGTCAGACAGGAGGAAAAGCAGTAAGGAGGCAGATGGGGGACAGATGGTGGGGGGCAGGTGGTAGGGCAGGTGGTGGGGTACAGGGGATGGGAGAGGCAATGAAGGGGTATGCAGTAGGTAATGGGAGAAGAGAGGGTAGAGGGCAGGAGGCGTGAAGGCGCTGTGGGGGCAAGTGGCACAGAGACAGACTGCAGGTAGGGCAGAGACTACAGTGGGAAAGGCAGGAAGTGGGGATAAGAAGTAGAGAGGAGACAGGGGGAGGGAGGGACAGGAGCCCAAGGCTCCTGGGCAGGGGGGCGGGTGAGAAAAAGCAGGGCATGCAGAGTAAGCAGGGGGACAGGCAGCAGCTGCAGACCCACAGTTTGGACCAGGGCCTCAGCAGC